GAGCCATCGTAGAAGACATGTCATGTACACAAAACACTATCTGCAAGCAAATACAAAAATAGCTGCAATAAAAGTAAGCAACTACGGGCAATGACAAAGACCTAAAATGCATACAGCAGTACCGTACAGACAATGCTAGAAAATCTACGTTGAGCATAGTTTACCTATACGCAATAGCATGTGACTTTGGAATGTCCACTGACAACCCACAAACAAATTTGATAAAGCTTGTATGACGCCACAGCTTGTTCGCAAGAATCAATGAGCAACCTATAACTCAACACTACGATTCACCTGCAAGAAGAAGCAAAGAAATTGTAGTAAAAACTATGAAACATTGGTGGAGGGCTCCCGATGCATCGCACAGCATGTTTGCAGGAAAATGTACACTCCTAGGGGCTGAATACTAAAGAAAATAACAGCTTGCAGAAGATGAATGAGATAAACCATGCCACATAATTCGAAATACTCATACAAGCAGACAAAATACATTTTATAGGCCCTTTAAATGGAAACTTATGCATAGTCTAAATGATCGTCACTTACACGACTAGTTATATTTGAATATTGCAAAAATACCCCCTCATGCATTGAAGTACACACTGACACATTCAGAACATATATATGCATTTTGCAAATGCTTTGAAATGGATGTAAACTACACACACATTACAACATGCAAGATGCATCATGTAAAGAAAGCACACTACACAATATGTAAAATGAATCATGCAAGCATACCGTCCAACTTGCAAAATGCACTGTTGAACAGTAACGTGTTACGCTGACATGCAAACCAATCATGCACTATACAAGAGAATTGAATCACCAGGTACTTGTGCAAACAAGCAGATAATGCATGGATGCATTATGCATACATATCATGCAAGTACATCATACACTATGTTAGTGTATTAAGCCAAGACACTCCATATCAATACAACATGCAAAATGCATTCAACAGCATATACCCGCATGCAGGGGAGGATGCAGTAGGAGGCCCGTCCCCACTGACTTTATCATTAACACCTAATTAAATATATTTATGATGCATTAATTACAGATTAAATCAAATAAGTTAAGTAGGTAAAGGTTTTTTTCCAGCCCAATAACAATCCTTCACAATCACGGGCAGAAGCTGAAACAAGAAGTCTTCTTCGTTCGGCCTGCGCGTGAGTCAGAACACCGAACACCTAGTCACCACCCTCACCTCGTCGCTCCACCCTCGCCTTGTTGCTCCGTCCATGTCGTTGCTTCGCCTTGTTCATTGCATCCGCCTTCCAGTCGACAGTCGCCCTCGGCTCTTGCCAGTCGCACAATCATCCGCCCCTACACTCAGCTGTCTGACCTGTAGTCGAGGCGACGCTGACCTCCAATCCGAGCTGTCAGGCCCTCGTCTATATTACTTTGGATCACGAAGCACACTCTAGTTGAAGCCCTTGGTCGATTTCATCTCGATCACAAGCAACCTGAAGCCCCCTTCCTCCGTTTCCCCCTTCCAACCCCTTCCAGTCGCACGCAAAGAAGCCATTCGGTCACAGCTCTTCTCTCAACTCACAAGACTCTTCCACTCTCCTTCTGCCTTTCTCTCCCTCTCTCCTTCTCTCTGTTCTTACTTTCTTTCCCTGCCTGTACAAGGCACACTGACTGGAGATAGCGGACTTAGGCATTTAAACTTCAAAGAGCAGCGAAGGCGAAGCCAAGGCGCACAACTTTAATTTGTTTCTTGATTTTTTTTTCATTGATCAATCCTTTGTTAATTTGTTAAGCAACGGATTTTGCTCTTAAAAAGTTATATAGTTATATCAAAATTAGCACTATTTCATGCCATAAATTCAAATTTAAAAACAAATCTTGAGAAAAGCCTATCTATTATTTGAGAAAATATTTGTATCTGCTCATTTATTTAGGCTTTGCTTGGCTTGTAGGAATTCAAAGAGAGAAAATGAAAATGAATGAGTAAAAGAATTGAATTGAATTTAGGCTTCATTTGGGACAACTTTCTTACTACTTCTTAAAAAAGATTTCTAGTACAAAAATTGAAAGAAAAAAAAAAAAACCCCCGCCAATGCAGGTCCCAAGCCCGGATGAAAGAGGCTGTTCTTTTTACTTAAATGATTTGCGGCTCCACATCAAAAAAACCATGGCTTCGCCCCTACCCGCATGGGCCCTAGCAAGCATGATGTATGCACACACGTGACGCCTAAAAATGCTACGCGAGTCAACAAATGGACTTAAGTTCAAGTTTGATCCTTGTTCGTGAATGGTTAAGAGTCGATACGACTTGAACCGTTGAATAAATATACGATCATAGTGCCAACCGGAGCATTTGATTTTATACGTTCATATTAGGCATTCGAGATCTATTACAAGAAATGTTCATTACTAAAAGCATACAACTCTTGATTCTCAATATCCGTATGATAACTCACAACACCAATAATTGAACTCAATCCTCTGTCAGCATGCAATCAGAGTTAACACGGTCTAAATGACATATACATGACCTATTTAAATATACCCGATGATGGACGTGTTGGCAGAAAATCTCAACAGGAGGAAACCCCAAACTTTTAAAATGCCTCCCACACTTATAAAATATAAACATATAAATTAACTTTAACATCACCCTGATGATGACTGTGTTGAAAGCTAATATCAACCGTAGGATTAGTCTTTAAATTCTACAAAAAACTTCAAAACTCTACATACATTCAAAAATCGAAATTTATCATCTAACACTTAAAAGCAAAATACTTATCTACCCTCCGCAACAATTTGTCGAGATGAATAAATTTGAAAATCACTTCAGCTCACAAAGAACAAATGTCTAATCAAGAATATCACTAGCATTCATTCTTAAATTATCTCCTGTCAGTAAATACGTGGTACGTGTCATCTACCAGTAGTTTCACCACTAAATGACACCACAGGTAAATGGTTATGACTGAGACCCTCTGACTGGGTGGTTTTACCGTCAAATGGTACCACTGAATTACGATCATGGCTAGAGCCCGTATGTTCCCCAATGGCTCTAAATTCTTGAGTAATGAATCAATAGGGCACAAAGCCCTTTGTTAGCTAAGGTCGGCTAAAATATCTCCCCTTAAATAAACATTCACCCCAAGTCTATAAGATACCCTTGAATGATGCAAACATCCTTTGATCAGGTTCGGTCGATTATCTCCTCTGACTAAGTAGACTAGGGATTATGATGACCCGGGATGATGGAACTAAGGAACCTTGATCGGGTTGATCATCATTTCCCCTACCATTCGCTTTAAGTGTGTGATGATATAAATTTCAATTTTCAATATCTAATTTTGCTCCTACTATACGTTAGATACTATATATATTTTCGATGACTACCCTTAATCGAAAGTTCTCTTTTGTTATCGGGAGGGATAATTAATTATGGGGACTTACGCCTATAGGAAACGAACTCATATAAGAAAGTCCTCACAAAATGAGGACAAAATCTCTAGTTATATCTTATCCAAAACTCAATGTCATCTGAAAATTTGCCTCAGAACTTAAACGTTAGAACTCTCCTTGACGACCCGAAAAAGAAAGGAGTCGCGGAGAAGCCGGGGTGCAAATTTTCGGAGCCCACAGTATGGAAGACCACCTCCTCAATTCATTGTGATGTTTTGATTCTATTTTACCTATAATGCTTTAAATATCAAGAATCCTAAACTATAATAATCTTTTGGAAGAAATAAAATTCAAAATTTTGGGAGGAAATCTCTACTAAAGGGAAAGCTTGGTGGCATCTCCAAGATTCTTGGCTTGGTAACTAGATCAACCTTCCTTTGGTGAGGATGTTCGTGTTCTTGTCATTCTTTATTTTGTTGATTTTTTTTTTTTTTTGCTCATATTCTTTCTCACATTACCCACAAGTGAACTGGAACCTCTCTCTAACTCCCCACGCTTCTGGCCATACCGCCATAGTTTCTTACATTCAAGTAAACTTTATAAACCAACTGCCCTCAATACAGCCATCCGCCCTTTCTTCAATTACATATACCAATAATTCCAAATTAAGCTCTAAACAAGTTTTGGATCAACAACCCCACATTCTAAAGCTATACACAAACCACTTCATTCCATCATTTCCCCCCCACCCCACCCCCTCTCTCAAAGCGTTACCTTCAGCACCACATAAACTCAGACTTCACTTGGAAACCCAAATCCTATACCCACCTTGGAGCTCTTGACCACTTTTGGCACCCCTTCTTCCCAAAGTCTTCAAAGTTTCAAATCTCGGAGTCATCCTATTTCCTTACACCAAATAAACTACTCCCCATCATTCTCCATTTCAAGACCCACCATACATTTTGCATCACCTCTCCTCTCTCTCTCACCTCATGAATAGCACTATTCCTGATTTTTCACTCCTAGTCATCCTCCCTAAGCTTATCTCTCTTAACAATTCATCTAGCTCTATTCAATCTTTTTATGAATCTCTCATCTCTCTGTCTCTCTCGTGAACCTTCCTTATGGCATTTCCCTTCCTCTCTTTGATTGTAAATAACCGCCATCGCTACAATTTCTCAAAACAAACACCACTCAAAGGAAATTATGTTAATGCAATTGCCATTTTAAAATTATCATGCATTATAACAAAAAAGGTGCACAATTAACTTAAGTTTGAGGGACTTACAAGTTCATGACTAATAGATTTTAAAAATTCCTAAAGAGAATATACTATGTTACAGAATTTAATATAGATATCATGCAATTTAATATTCAGAAAACTTTGCTCCAAGCCTCCAACATATAGTTCTCTCCTACTTGTGCTCCCAGAAATGATTTACTTCATTAAAAAAAAAAGGACAGATGTTTTAGTTTCCAGAGGAGACATTAAAAGCAAAGACATTTGACAATTTCTAGCCTTCAACTAATTGGCCAATGCCTAGAAATTCTGTTAACCATATCCTAGGATGTCAACATCAGAAAATTGAGTGTTACTTTTCGGTGAAGTTATATTATCACATATTAGGGCTTGTAACAATTCCTACAATTTACAAGTGACCAGATTCAAAATCATACAGTACGTTTTTATTTATTTTTTAATGTTCTCCAATTAACTGAAAGCATAAATTAAACATTCTTAACAAAAAGCAAGATGAGACAGTAAGCATACGTTGAGAAAACTGAATCAATATGAGAAGACACCAGAATGACATTTTCTTCAGCCTCTGGAATATACTTAGGCAAGATTCTCAGGACCACATGCTTCAGGTCTGAATAAACTAGTGTTTTCCCTTTGAACAGACCACCAGCAAGTCGATTTGCACCAGTTTTAGCAGAAAAAAGATCAACTTGCACATCGACCTCCCAATGAGCTGACTTCTTAATAACTTCTGAAGCCGACAAAACATACTATTGCAGAAAAATGTCAGGGAAACTTTTTCAATAAGGTAAATTAAAAAAGAAAATAGCAAGCATGTCACTAATTAAGTTGTACAAATGTACAGAACCAATTTTTTTAAGTTTGCAATCAGTTTTTTACACGTTAGTTCGAGGATGCTCTGCATATAAAATTACTAACGAAAAAACATAATTAAAATGAAAAACATTTTATTTCAATTAGTAATTTATGGCCCATTAGTGTTAAAAAAATGCGAATAAATAATTAATTAATGTTTCACAAATAGGGATGCAAATAAACCAATATGTTTGGCAATCTACAAGTAGTTTGGCTCTGTTAAAGCTCAGTCGTGACCGTTAAATTAAATAATCTAACAAGCTAGAACTATTATAAACATAGGATTGATAAATGAACAACCTTGAGTTAACAAGTTGCTCAGCAGTCTTGCTAGTTAATAGACTCAATAGAGCTCATTTGGTTATCTAATAAACCAAGTTCCAATCAGGCTTAAATAGTCATAATTTTAAATGAACCAAAATTGAGCACAACTAAAAATGCTAGATTGAGCTTTATATCAAGCTTAAATAGAGTTTTGGCAAATGAGCACAAGTTCAAGCAAGCTCCTACTCGACTCAGCTCAGATCATTTACAACCCTATTCAAAAATAGCCCGTTGTCCTTGGATTTAGTGGCGGGATTGTGAGTTTGGGCGATCAAGTCATTAATAAGTGTACAAGTTTTAGATATATCGGTTCTATTGTTCAGAGTGATGGTGAAATAAATGGGGATATTATTAGTAGAATTCAAGTTGGTTGAAATGGGGGAATGCATCAAGCTTATAGTGTGATAGAAAAGCCCCCCTTAAACTTAAGGGAAAACTCTATAAGATTGTTGACCTGCAATGCTTTACGGTGCAGAATGTTGGCCATTAAAAGAGAAACATAATATTAAGTTAAGTGTTGCAGAGATGAGGATGCTTGGGTGGATGAGTGGTTTTACTCTTAGAGATAGGATACAAAACAAGCAAATACGTGAAAAGGTTGGAGTAGCTCCAGTGGAAGATAAGATTAGAGAGAGACATCTTAAATGGTTTGGTAACAAAAACGGCGGCCTTCCGATGACCTGGTTAGGAGAGTAGATGTATTAGATTTCGCTTATGTTAAAAAATGTAGAGATAGGCCTAAAAAGACTTCGTTAGAAAAAATTAGAAATGACATTTATTTATTAGATTTAAATGAGAATTTGACTCTTAATATAATACAACATAAAAAAGAATTCATGTAGTCGACCCCACGTAGTGGGATAAGGGCTCGATGTTGTCGTTGTTGTATCGCATTTAACCGGGATTTGTGTTGGGTCGGTAGAGTCTTAAGGACTTGAATTTTCTACCAAAAATATATACGGCTTAAATTCAATCAACTTTTCATTTCAAATCTTACATGATTTATTCATTTAAGTCAAAATTTCAAAATTCAAAGAAACAATAACCTCCTTATGGACATCAATGTACAGTCAATATTTAACTAATTGTCATGTCCATAAGGATGAGCTTAATCTAATATCAACAACAAATCTATTTCAACTGCTGACCTCATATGCAAGTATTGTCAGCCACTTAAAATAATGTCCCTTCACATGAAAAGGAGAAATAACTAAGGAAAGTTGCAATGGTGAGTATGCATTGGCACCCATATAAATGTTCTTAATATATAATCATCATCAAAACCATTTAAGGATAATGACCTCATATGCTAGCCTTGTGAGTCACATGCAAAGAATAATTGACTTTCTCAAAAGACACTTTCAATGGTGAGCCTACAATGGCACCCATATGGTCGAGTTGCTTTGCTTTAGTGGCTAATAAATAAGATTCAATTCATAAATTTAAAATATCCTAACATCATAGAGAGTATTGCATGATGACTTTTGAAATGCTTGGGTGAGTACAGAATTGTGAGACCAGTGTCTCTTCTCACCCACGAACTAGAACTCAATGCAGATATCATTAATTGTGACATCAGATATCATTAATTGTGACATTATTACTTCTCTTTTTTGGGCCTTTTTCAATACTTTCTAGGTTAAATGTACCTCAAATTCTAACTAAATTGTTCAACTTAACTCAAATTAAATCATTAAAATGTTAAAGCCCGATATAAGATATATTTGAGCACTTCAAAATTTCTCAGATATCTAGTGCTCCAACTCTTTCTCTTTCAGTAGCATTATACAATTCTCTTCGTTTAAGTATACCCCTCGACAAATTCCAAGATCATATCTTTTCCAACAAACTCAAAATAATAACAATATATTTCATCACTTTAGTCAAAAGTTTTTTAAAGAGATAAACAATCATAAAATATGATTAATTATTTGGGTTTGCCCTGATGGAGAACCTAAAACCCATATTAAAATAAAACCTGTTTGATTCAATCACATCAAATAGGGAAAGATCTCTAGAAATGTAGACCTTCATTTTTAAATTTATAAGTATTTTTATTCTAAACTTTGTAATACAATTTTATTTTTGCCTTTCAAGATAATATATTATTCTTTAAGTAGCACTCAATTGCAAAATCCTAAACATCTTTTTTTAACTTATAGTTAGGTATATGTTTCTACTTCTCAAGGTACAACAACAAAACTTGCGACTAAGAGTTCATCTGATAAAAATTATGAAAAGATTATTAGGAGTTATTAAGTTGCAAGTATTTCAAATGCATGTGTATTCTATAAGTATTGTGATAGGAAGTGGATGCAATTTTAGCAAAATCAGATAACGACACAAGAAATTCAGAAAGAAAAACACACAATAACTATTTTTTATTGAAACAACTAAGAAGAAAAACACAATATACAGTTAGATCTTCAATTGGAGAGGAAGATCCACCTCTCTCAAATCCCTAGCCGTTGACTAGAGCCCGATGAACCTAATAACAATCTACATTCAACAAACCAAACATAACCCTAACCAAAGGGAAACCACCTACTTAAAGCAAATAATAATTTTTCAAATCCCCAAACAGCCCTCCTATATTGACTTTCCCTCCTGACTTCCCCCTTTCTCCTATTCAAAATTGCCCTTGGCCCCACCCAAAGGGGCAGTCAATCATCCTAAGCGGAAGCATATTCTGCCTCAAATATGCTAGAGCTGTAAATATGCTAGAGCTGGTCCAGGAAGGACTAGCTGGACTGATCCAGAAGGGACCGGTCTAACAATACCCCCCCCCCC